GATAGATAGATAGATAGATAGATAGATAGATAGATAGATAGATAGATAGAACTATAGTTCTCAAAGTTGGAGAAATAGGTTGAAAGCAATAGAAATTTACAGAAACAAAATGCAGAATTTTTCACATAAAACAAAAATAAAACACACTGGTATAGGATGGTGGACACCATGCTTAGTACTAGTACTTGCAAAAAGGGTCTTGGAATGATAGTTGACTAGAGTTAGGGTTGAATATGAGTCAGCAGGGTAACGTAGCTGAAAAGACAAATGCAATTTTAAGCTGCACCAGCTTTCCAAATTAAAGAAAATAATTTTTCTGCACTATTCTGATTTGTTCAGATTCCTTTTTGAATACTGTGTCCAGTTCTGCACATAGGGAAAGGCAATGAAAACAATCCAGATTAGAAATTAAGCCCCATGAAAAGAGATCAAAGGAGAAAAGAAACTGAGGAAGGATATGATAGCTCTCTTCAGATACCCAAAACTTTGCCATTTAGAAGAAGATCAAGACCTAATCTCTCTCATTGCATAGTGCAGGATATGCAGTAGTGGATTTGAGTTCCAGAAGGCTGATTCTGATTGAATGTATTTTCTAGCAGTATAAACAGCTGAATAGTGGAACCAATTATAAGGACATAGTGAGCTTCTCTTCACTGAGTAGGTTCAAATCAATGTTAGACAGCCATCTGTTTGGGATGCTTTATTTTGGATTCCTTCACTGAACAGGACTTGGACTTGGTGGCTTGAATGGCCCTTTCCAACTCCATGACTCCATGATTCTGCTTCAGTACTACTTAAGGTATGAGATGAAATAAATGATTTCCCTCACTTCTCAGCAAGGTCGACCTCAGTAATGTACAACCTTTATCTATAATTTTACAGTCTGAGACAGAATCCTATGCCAGGAAAAAAGAATTATGAAAAAGTTAACAAAGTTTGATCTCAGAAGAAAATGGTTATGAAAAAGTGAGAGAGAACTAATAGAAGAGAAGTAGAAAGGTAGAGCCAAGTGCACTGGGACTAGAAGTCCCAGATTTCCCACCTAGTATGGCAATATTTCTGCATGACGTCAGATTGTTCAGGTTGATAAAACATTCTGCAAACAAAACATTTTGCAAAGAGTACCAGTGGGCAATAAAATGGCACCTGCAGTTCAGTGTAAGGAAGTATAAAATGGTGCATGTTGGGGGCAAAAAATATCCATAGACGCACTGTCAGGTCTGTGGTGACTGACTGGAATTGGTTCTCATCTCATTAATTCTAAATATATTTTAAGATATTGCTTTTTAAAATCTATTAATGAAATGTGAGATTGGATTATGCTTCAGGCTCAACATTGTTGTGATATTAGATGGTGCAGTAATTTCTTCTCATAGCTTAGTGTTTTCCTTCCGATAGCAGATGATAAAATAGCCTATATCAGCATTGTTTGTTTCTTATCATATTGATGTAATCACATGTAAAATGCTTGCTTATTAAAAGCATCAAGGGCAATAAGCAACATTTTGCAGTACATCAGAAGCAGCATAATTTCTTTCTTTTTTCGTTTTATCTTTCCACAGAACCTAAGTTGATTGCTGAGGTAATAATTGGAATAGTTGCATGTCTCCTTTTGATTGTAATTGGGTACCTTCTATACAAGACTTTTTTAAAGAAAAGTAAGTCATTCTGAATATGTATTATCAATACCATCTTTTGTTTACTTACAAGATTGCAGCCTAAATTTATATTTATGAAAGTTAGTTTTAAAGTACCAATATTAGAAAATTCCCAGAGAACAGCCAGGCAGAGGTAAAAAGCAACAGGGGAAAATGGAAAGGGAATTAAATAAAGGCATTATGTTGCACCTGCCAAATTACAGGTAGTCCTTGTTTAGCAACCAGAATTGGGACCGGCAGCTCAGCTGTTAAGTGAAGCAGTTGCTAAGTGAAACTGCAACTGTGCTTATGATCTTACTTCAGCTTTCCTTTGCTTTACAGACCTGTGAAGGTCATAAATGGGAGGATTGGATGTAAACTTACTTTTTCATCGCCAATGTAACTGCAAACAGTTGCTAAATGAGGCAGTCACTAAACGAGGACTACCTGTATAGTCTTTTTAGACATCAGTTTCCAGAACAGCATTAAACTATTGTCCAAAGGAAACCCAGCTATCAGCTGATTACGGGGCTCTTCTAGAATGCCCCTGTGCAGAACACTTGTACAAAGTCAGAGCAGGTTTTGGCAGATGACTAAACCTGCTGGTCTGGCCATCTGTTTGAACTTACTTCCTCCCTAGCCCACTCTATCCCATGTGAAAGAGAGGGATTGGTGGATGTCTTTCCTATTGATAGTTGATACTTGGTGGGAGTGAAAATAAAGCCAGGGAAACCCAACAGTCACTTTTCTTAACCTATCTCCCCTTAAATGTGTAAGGACAGCACCAGTCTTCTGCCTCATTCGTGAGGCACAATGAGGTTTGGCTGCTGAAGCGGGGCAGAGTATGCTTGCATACTTTTCTGCCAATTCAAGAAATGCACAATAACACAGCAGTGAAGTGCACTAGGCAGGAATACATATAACTGTTTTTAAAAAGTAGAATAATGCATTGTAAAATCTGGAAGGAATGATCCTAAAATATTGTTGCAACATTTATAAGCAACCAAGTTTTCATTTTCCATTGTTTTTATAGGTCCACCATCCTTGGAAATAGTTGGAAATGAAGAATTGAAGCATTTGGAAGAAACACAGTTGCAATGCTTGATTTCACACTTTCGACCTAAGCTTTTGCATATAACTCTGTTCTTAGTAACTCAAACCCAGAGTACAAAACAGAAAATAGCCTCTTGGTGTTCAACATCATTTGATGATCCTGAGGAAGGTAGTGAAAATTTTCCTCTCCTTGGGAACTTGGAGGACATGTTTAGATTTTATCCAGAGTTGAAATCAAAACCAAAAGGCTATTCTGACATTCACTGCAAAATCTGCATCAATCCAAATATACAGAAGCTGGAGAAATTTGACCTTTTATTAGAAGTTAAACATAAGGGCTTTCAGCGTGGATTGTGTACTAAAACAAAATCATTTAAAGTCATAGGTAAGTAATGATTATGGCAGGTTATTAAATGATGCTAAAACTTTAAAATTTTGCTATGATTTTTGAGAGAACTGCTCGGTTTCAAAATGAATGAAGATAGAGGAGGATTAGCTAGTTTCTGTCCAGCCATGGTCCCGGCAGATATCTTGGATTACTATGCATGGACTGAATATGAACTATGACAGGCATGGATGGGCTGGAAAGAACATCTCTTATAACTCAATTTCTATGACTATGTGTTGCTTCTGAGACCCATGACCACTTTTCAAATTTTTCACAGTGTCTTACATCTCAAAGGAAAACAAGGTGGGTCTTGGCCAGTACTTGGATTTAGGACCACTGTTAGCTGGACTAGGAAGTTGAAAAATATTCCAGAAGAGAGTAACGGCAAGTCACTTAAGCAATGCTGCCAAGGAAATGGCATCTTTACTTCCCTCCCTTATACACTTCATGTATCTTTCAGATTTGTAAAGAAGATGCTGTTCCATGTCACACTCTTTATCAATGTGAAATTTTTGTCCATGCTGTTCATCATTTTACCAGTTGAGGTGCAGCTGAACCCATAACTGCTGACTTTCCTGGCTAAAATTTGACTTGATTGGAAAGCATTTCTTGGTGGTGGACATGGAGCTCTTTCTTCTTATTTTCATGTGTAGGATTTTTCCTTCCTGTATTATTTGTAACTGATTATGGTTTTTACAAGTGTAATTTTAGATTGTTTTAAATGTATCGTTATTCACAGGATTTTGCTAAACAGTTTTATTTTTATGATGGAAAATACACTCATATCTATCTAGATTTAGATACTGATAGAGATCTAGATCTAGATAGATACATTTCCCACCATTTTTCTGAGCAGCTCAAGATCATTGGAAAATTACTGTGGATAATTTCCAGTTTAGTTTGCACACAGTACACTCCCAATCAATCCCTCTGTTCAGATCAGAGTAAACACATATGCCACTCATTTCAGCTAGCAAAAAATACAGCTTGATGTTTATTTGTGAAACATCGGCAAACACAAAAAATAGTTAACTGGTAAAACAGGATAAAAGGCAGGCAAAAGTAAGGAGAGAGAGAAATACAAACAACAAGCAAAAATTTACTTTATTTATATCTATATATGTAAAAAAGAACAGAACTTTCCAGAGCTATTGGAAGCAACACTGTGCATATTTAGCATGGATAGTCCCAAAGGACGGGGCATTTGGTTCTTTCAGCTTTAATCCTTTTAGGTATATAATGGCAGCAGAACACAAATGAAAAGAAGGACACTAAGTGATCCCCATAAAGAAACAATTTGGTGGCTAGGGATGATGTATCCAACAAAGACACTTCCAGCCTTTCAACTGGTAGAGATACTGATGTTTCTACAGACAGTCAGGGTTTCTTGGCAAATGGGCTTGGCTTGATCCTTCCTTGTTTTATGCAAACAAACAGCTGCTGAATGGTGGGCAGGGAAAAATGATAGATGTCATTAAGGCTTTGGAAGGCTCATGCAGTGGCTTTGAAGCTCTCCCTGGTTATCTGGGCGTGGCTGTGCACATCACATTTTTGCTGCTTTTCTTCCAGTATTAAAACCTTCTTGGTTTTCTTCCTAGCCTTGCCACTGCTTCGTGAAGTTCAGTGTTCCACAAATGTGCCAAGACCAGATGAGCCTCTCACTCTTAGCTGCAAAATCCATTCTTATTTCCCGGAAACCCTTGAAGTCTGTTGGTATAAAAATGATGAAATTCTAGACAGTCCCTTTACAAGCCCACCCACAAAAGGTCCTGATGGGCTTTTCTTCTGCATCAGCAAGGTTCAATATTGCCCCCAAGTGGCAGATTCTGGAAAGAGGTTTGTCTGCAGAGCTAAGCTGGAAGGCTCACAGGAGTACAAAGAATCTGCATGGCAGATGAACACTCTGGGTAAGTGGAGCAGAAAAACTACACTTTTTATCTTCCTCTGTTGTACAGGGTATATTTTACTCCTATGGTCCTAGGCACAGAGTAGTTCCAGTAAAGTGCAGCTCCTTCCTGCAAAAATGTTTTCTGTTTCTCCCATGTAATTTCACTTTTAAAAAAAATGATATTTTTAAAATTTTACTGATGCTGTAATAATAGTCACTATCTTACTTTTTCTGTTCCTGTTCCCCTTTCAATTCTTCTCTTCCCACATTGCCAACAGCTGTGAATTTAATTAAGCTTCCTTTCTCAGAATAATACTCCATATATCTCAGAATAAGACTCCATTTGCAATTCATGTTATAATAAATATATGTATTGATATTTAGGAGTCCACAGAATGCTTTGTTTCTTTCTTTCAGTATCCTAGTATACGATTGGGCAGATGTTAGGTTTCTGAAAGCCATAAAGAGCCATAGTAGAGTCCTGAACCGTCACAAGGACCAACTTGGTAATAGGAGAGGGAGACATATATACTTAGAATTCAGAATATGCTTTCAGGCCAGGCTTTTGATTTTGGTTCTTTCATGCAAAAATCTTCTGAAGCAGAAAGGGCTATTGCTGAGTAGACTACTTTTTGATGGCTAGTCAGTATAGCTTCATGTAATACTTGCCACTGCCAGATGGCTAGCAGAAGTTGGATATGCAAAATAGGCATATACAGTATATGCAAATAGCTTTAGTTGCATCTATGTGCAGGTCATGGGATCTCTTAAAGCCAAGTTCTTTAAGGTCAGGCCAGAATGCAGGATCAAAGAACAGAAAATCTAATTCCTCACCAAATTAGTCTATAGAAGCCTTCATCTGATGCTGTTTTATTGTTCAGGCCATTTTCTATCTTTTCTCACCAGACTCATAATTTATATCGATTTGGCACTTTATTGTGATTGGATTATGACTTTGGCCTCAGTTGTCTAAGCTAAACAGTCCTATGGGAAGATAAGCTTGTGTTTTGGCTTCTCAGGTTCTGTACTGAGTACTAACTCTGATATTTGCTGTTGTATTTTATTTACAGTGCTTGCCCCCAAAGTTTGCAAAATGGAATGTAAGCCCCCTGTACCTGAGTGTGGGAAATCTATCACACTGACTTGCTCATTGACAGAATACCATCCACCTGAGTGTGACTTTTGTTGGAGAAAAGGCTTTGAACAACTCACCAATGTTACACTTAAAACAGAGGAACCACAGTTGAACAGAACGTCAAAGCTGTACTCTAGGACAAGTGAAATAACCTTTACACCCAGTGCAGAAGACCATGAAGTAGACTTCTCTGTTGAAATAAATCATTACAACAAAATTTTAAGGAAAGGATATACAGTCATGTTGAAAGGTGATTCTTATCATAGTTCTAATTCATCCATCCTCAACCTGTTGCTTTCCAGATGTTTTGGGACTGATCGATTGATTGATTATGTGCTATCAAGTCATTTTTTACTCCTAGCGACCAGAGCTCCATGTTGGGGAAACTAGTCCAAAAATACAGTTAAGCACTTCGTTCTTCCTTTTTTCTGCACAGTGAGTCCAACCTGACTTGAGATTTTTTTCTCCCCAGCCCTACCCTTCTTTCGAGCAAGGATAAGAGATGGTGCTATCCTGGGCAAATTTATCACCATATGGTGCTATCCTGGAACCTAATCAGAATTGCCATCTCTTTTTTTCAAAGAGTGTTGTATACTAGAGCTTCTGCAAAAAATCTATGTCCCTTGCAGGCATTGATTATCTGCATGTGGAATCTAGCCTCCACCCTCCCCTGTTAAACTCCCATGTTGAAGGATGTTGGGGAAATATCCCAAGTGAATCAACCAACAGGCTGGAGAGAATTAACAGTGTATGTCTATTACATAATGAAGAATTATGATCATCAAACACTTCTCCAGAAAGGGAAAAGGCACTTGGGTACAACAAGAACAGAATATGTATATTTCCAGTATATGTATTCATTTAACTAATATTCATATAATTAATCATGAATAGCCAAGCTATTCATATAATTAATCATGAATAGCCAAGCAAGTGTATCATGTATCATATCATGTACATTTTGTTCTTCTAGAAGATTCTTAGCACCTGCATTCTGTATATATATTTTCCCTTTATCTGTAGATAAGAACCAGTTTGCCTAGCATAGGTCTAAGGTGGTCACACCAGGTCATAAGGTTTCTAAGGTTCCTACTACTGTCTGCACATCTTGAAAGAGTGTATGGGTATAAATGGTTCTCTAAATCAGAGTATTCCTACCCATAAAGGTGTTAGACAGGGTTGTATTCTACCCCAGTGCTTTTTAACCTCTACGTCAACAGTATTCCAGGATTCCTATATGTTTCAGACACTCATATGCCAAAGATCCATGATATATTTATTAATATTCTTTTTTCATGCTGACGATATGGTTCTAATGGTGCATCCTCAAATAGGCCTGAGAAGACTGTTGCAAAAGCTAAATGCCTATTGCATTCTCAATTCTCTAAACATCAATGAAACCAAATTTAAAGTAATGGTATTTAGCAAAAAAAAAAAGAAAAAGTGAAATATAACCAGCAGATGGATAGGGAGCCTATTGAACAAGTGAATTCTTTCACCTATTTAGGAATGGCCTTTATCAACACAGGTGAGAAGACTGTTGCAAAAGCTAAATGCCTATTGCATTCTCAATTCTCTAAACATCAATGAAACCAAATTTAAAGTAATGGTATTTAGCAAAAAAAAAAAGAAAAAGTGAAATATAACCAGCAGATGGATAGGGAGCCTATTGAACAAGTGAATTCTTTCACCTATTTAGGAATGGCCTTTATCAACACAGGGTCATGGGCAAATCATTTTAAAAGAAGCTCAGTGAGGCCTGAGGCAAGTACCAAAAGAATTATATAAATAATTTAATTACTTGAATTAAATTATTGACCCCCCATATTGACCCCCCATATTGAAAGCGTTTAGACAAAAATAGTCCCATTGCTGACCTATGGGGCCTTACAAAAGCTTCTTCACTTGAACAAGTCCAGACCTGTTTCTTAAGAGCCTACTGGGAACTGACAAGAACACGTCAGCCGTCATGGTCAGAGCAGAAACAGATATCGACTTCATACACAGCCACTCAACCAAGTTTTTACCTATTGGCAAAGGATCCATTCAATGGACCCTGATAGGCTACTCAAAATATGTTTCACTGAACAAATAAGTATGGCTCAGCCCACCTCCTGGGTAAGCCAACTTACTGAAGTTATTTTATAACAGGTTTTCCACCCAATATTTACTCTGAACTGCCTCCCAGGCAAAGGAATTTTTTTTAAAATAGAGAGTCCTAGATATCAGTGCCCAAACAGACATGGAGTTATTGGCAAAAAAATAGATCTTTAAATTGAATGGCTAAGAACAAAACCACTTTCCAAACTGAAAAATACCTGTCAATGAGTGACGCAATTCTTGTGAGAGGCCTATTCTAGAGCAAGGTTTGAGTTGTTGGATTCCATGGCTAAATATGGGTTCTTCCATCACTTACCATATCATAAGAGGATGTGTATATACAATGTCCCAGCCATCGAAGATATTGCTCGAGTTTTGTTTGATTGTCAACTGTATGCCCCTTTTAGGCTTAGATATTTAAAATCTCTACTTGAAAGGACAGCCCACTGGGGCCTGAATTGTAGACTCTCCTATTTCCTCCTAGGCCCTAATGTATACATTGTTAGCAGAACTGCTAAGTTTATAGACAAGGCTGTTCAGCTAAGAATCCATTATATTGAACAGATCAGGGTATCATATAAAGGCAATGTATTTATCTGAACATTGATTGTATTTAGTACATATGTATTTTATTATTGTATTTTCTTTTACCTATTTTATCCTGGAAATAGACCTTGTATTTTACCTTTATTTTATTTTCTTTGATATCATTGTAAGACTAGATGTGATGGACTGGAATGGTGGGAGGGGAGTAAAGAATGTGCTCTCATCTCCAGAGGAGCGAGGAAGAGATAAGCGGAGGAGATTGGCACCTCCCTGAGAAATACCATCGGTATGAACTGGCTGAGCCTGAGAACTGGGCTCCAGTCTGGGAAGATTCCTGTAAATGGATTGTAGCTAATAAACCTTGCTGGATAATTTCTGTATGGTCTCCTGGATTTCCTTGGGCTAGGCCTGACATCAAACTTCCCAGACTCGAGCCCAGTTCCCAGGCTCAGCCAGTTCATACCGATGGTACTTCTCAGGAAGGTGCCAATCTCCTCCGCTTATCTCTTCCTCGCTCCTCTGGAGATGAGAGCACATTCTTTACTCCCCTCCCACCATTCCAGTCCATCACACTAATCAATCAATAAACTCTATGTATTATCTATCAATCGATTGATCTTCTGCACAATCAGCCTGCCTCATATTGTTCCCTTTGTTAACCAATTTCCCTTCACAAGGACACTGAACACGTGTAAAATGTCAGAGTTGAAGAAGGGAAGGCCAGTTGTATAGAGGCTGCACTGAAATAAGTGCCTAAGACATCTTAACAAAAGTGCCAGTCACTTGATCCATTCCTTTTATGTTTACCCTTAGCCTCTCCTTACACAATTGTATTCTATCTGTTCCTCAAGCTTATCCATGATGTATTAAGAATTATATTCACCATGATGATTGATATCTTTATGACATTGTTATATGTGTTTTACTTCTAAGTTCACATCAGTATACAATAGCATGCCATGGCTTAAAGTGTAGTAACAAACAACCAAAAATACAGTGGTACCTCTAGTTACGAACTTAATCCGTTCTGTGACTCTGGTTGCAACTTGAATTGGTCTCAAGTCGAGGTAAATTTTCCCATAAGGTTCAATGTAAATACGGTTAATCTGTTCCATCCTCTGAATTTGGT